TAGTTCCCAGGGGCTTCCTTTCTACCCTTTTTGAAAATGGGCACAATGTTTCCCTTTTTCCAATCACCAGGGACTTCACCTGACTGCCATGACTTTTCAAATATCATGGAGAGGGGCTTGGTGACTACATTGGCCAATTCCCTCAGGACTCTGGGATGCATCTCATCAGGTCCCATGGACTTCTGTGCATTCAGGTTCCTCAGGTGGTCATGAACCTGATCTTCTCCTACAGCAGGAGGGGTTTTGCCCTCCCGGTCCCCCTCATGTCATCCATCAACTCAGGAGAGGTGAGGAGAGAGGTTGCCAGTGAAGACTGAGGCAAAAAAGTTGTTGAGTACCTCAGCCTTCTCCTCATCTGCTGTTACCAGCTTGCCAGTCTCGCTCATCAGTGGGGGTACGCTTTCTTTAACCATCCTTTTCCGGCTGATATACCTGTCTGTCCTTACCTTACAGCGCCATGGCTATGCACATAAATTAGTGTTACTTGTTGATACATTGGCACTAGAAGGGGAAAGTTGTTGCTCAAGCAATTCACAATAAGTCTCCTATTTCGGTGCTGTTTTACAGGATCTCCTTTATTTATTGCATTGCCACCACAAAGTTTATTGCCTAAATCAATTTTTTCTTAATGCTTAAGGAAACAACACAAAAATCAAACAGAAATACCTTGTGAAAAAAGCAAACTATTAATGTGAAAAATAATTTTAAAAGTATTATCTAAATCACCTTAATAGGGAAAACCCAAAACTGGATATACATACATTTGATACAGTTTGGCTATCCAGAGATGCAAATAAGTTATGTTTAATGTACAGAAATTTAAAACAAAATTAAAAATTGCTTGTTATAGGGACAAATGTTTACTTTCTAAATGACAAAGCTAGAACCAAGCATCCACTCCACATTTTCTAAAGGTTCCAGCTTTTTATGTGAGTAGGAAAACAATTATTGTTGCACTGTGGCCTTGCGACGCTGCAAATTCAGCATATCTAACTGCTGGTAGGGTATGGGGGAGAAAGCAATAGCAGCTTGCTCTTCTGGGCAAAGCACTTTTCCGCTTCAGCTTCTCCTAAATGCAATGCTCCTGAGGAGCCACAGAACTTATGGAAGAACTCCTAGTTCAGGTCAACAGATTTTGCCAACCTTTCCCGTGCTGACTATGGATTCTTTTCACTCCAGCTTCCAAGCTCACCCCCTTTGCAGTGGCTGCTGCACCCCAGCAGCAGGACAGAGGGATACCCCTTCCTTAGCCGCTGCAAACCCCATGCCCTATTCTTTTCATGCAGCAGCTGTTTATTGCTGACATCTGCATGTCCAGAAGGAGAGGGCTGCTACAAACGTGGTCTATCTCTTGTGAGACTTGGTGGGATTCACAAGCCTTACAAACCCACTTAGAGTTGGAAGACTTCCTCCAAACTCCGTGCATTTAAGAATCCAATCCCTTCTGAAAGATGGCTGCCAGAGGGTAAAGGCTGGCTGCACTTTGCATTTCTCAGGTTTTTAATGCATGGTTGCAGATTTTGTTTCCTAAATAGAACAAAGCAGGCTTGCTTGTTTGTTTGAAGAAAAGGAACACACAAATGTTGTGGTTGTACAAGTCAGGACGTGTCAAACATTCACAAAGAGCAGCATAATAAAAAGCAGGTGCTATGACAAGCTTCCAAACTTGTCGTACAAGCACCAGCAATGATTTATTTATAACTACAGTTCATTCCACTCAGGTTGTTTTCCAGCAAGTGGTTCATCTGTTGGTCTAGCATATGCATTAAATCAAGCACTTTCTCTTCCTATTGTCTCTGTTACAGTGTCTGCTCTCACACTCTGAACGTCCAGTTCTGCATTTGCTTTGGGACACAGGAGAGAGAGAAGCACCACAGACAAAAGAGGAGAACATTGCATGTGATACAGCCAACATGAGCAGAAGGTGCTCTGAAAAATGCAGGATAAACAGGCACAAAATATTCTGGAGCTACGTCCCCACATGGGCCCTGCAGCCCATAAGAGATTAACAAAACCAACAGTACAATTTATAAATGCTGAAATAATCTGTTATCACTACAAAATAATGAAGTAAAAGGCCTCTGTGCTCTGTGAACTTTCTGTTGAAGCATTTCAACTCTCTTCCTGACTTGAGATCAATGGTGCTAAAATGCTGCAATTTCCCAAGACATCAGATCCAGCTCCTTTTGCCATTGCTTTATTTTGTACATTGAGCTGAGATTTCAAAACCACACTTTGCTAAGTAATTTCTATTTTATTTTGAGAGAAACAAAGGTGAAAAACTGACCTCATTTAAGTGCCTAACCCAAGAGCTGAGCTCCTCTGAATAACTGGCCCCTATGCCTGGCCATAACCTTTTCTAAGATGGTCTAAGAAAAATTGGTGACATTCTTTCCCCTAAGTTTAACCATCTGAGCCTGTTCCTTTACAACCACTGTAATAGAACCAGACAGATCAGTCTCCGAAGGTGGTTCACTGATTACAAAGAGGGCTTCAGTCAGTAGTTTGGATTATTTAAACATCAAAAAGTTAACACACAGGGATGCCATCTCATACCCCAGGAGTAGATTATGGGGTTGCTCCAGCATCTGAAAATTGAAGCCATGAGTACATGACTCTTACCTTTGAAATCAAGAGTTTCCCAGTGCTCAGTTGCAGTAGCCCACAAAAGGCAATTTGGGAAGACAGAGGACAAAGTGCATCCGGAGGAGGACACACCAGCCCCCAACAAACGCACCTATGTGTTTGCCTGTCTAACAAGGAGTGGCAGCATTCTGCTATCCGAGAACTGCTGTCACAATAATGAGACAAGCAAAGAGGGACAGAGGTCTTTTCCAGAAAGTAATCAGTTTTTAAAATAACACAACACTTTCTACTTCAGTTTATTTCTACATTTACAAGCTGACGAGGCTATAAATTTGAAGAGAAGTGTCTTCCATCCTACTTTGATAAATAGATTGCAGACAGTATGACAGACTTTTTAAATTAAGGACATGACTTTCATCAAGAGAGATTTTGCAGAACTATCCCCCTCAGCAAACTTAACCTGAACTTTCCCAATCATAAGCAGAAACCCATGCAGCCATCGTTCAGGAATTATTTGTTCTGTCCAAAACATTTTTTTTCCTGCCATAATTCCTGGCATAGATTCATACCCTTGCTGGTGATGATTAAATTTCAGCTATTACTTGTAGGTTTCGAGCCACAGTCCTTAGACTGCCTGCCTCAGAGCAGTAGTTTTTGTTGTAGATCCATTAGACAACGAGTCAATACTACTTCTGTCTGCTGAGATATTTCCTTAGATACACAATTTGATACGAAGTTATGGAAGTACAGTTTTGTAGCTTTTAACTCGCAGATGCTTGGAAATAACAACTCTTTTTTTGGAGCATGAAAATGAGAAATAGTACCACACCCCAAGATTTTAAGAGCAAGATAGATGCATAAATCAACTAAATGGATTACGCGACACTAAGATGTTAGCATGACTCTAAGATGTTTATGGAGATGCCAGACTATCAAAGGCTTGGGAGCGTAAGATGGCAGGCATAGCAGTTCATATAGGACATCTTCCACCTCCTCCCAAAGCACCCACCCCATGGTCCAACACCAGCAGCAGAGCAGCACTGAGAGGAGCTGAAGAACATGATGTTTCTGTTGAGTGCTAGTTTGCTTTCAGGTCATCCCCACTTTTGGTTTGGATCCCAGAGTGCTTTTGGTGAGCACAAAAGATTCCTTTTGGCTGAAGCCACCCCAGATGCACAGTGTGCTCAATGCCAACTGGAGAAAATGGGCATCCAAATGAGCAAGCAAGCCACATCACTGCAAAGTCCTTCAGCACACACTGAACATGTGTACTCCAGTGAGTGTGCCTGAACCTTCACATTTGCAATTCTTCACAGCTCGCTGTTTTGTCTTTCACCAAGACGCCTGGCCTGGCCTCGATATCCTGACTAACAACTACAAGCCCAAAGAAATAAGGAGTAACAAATATCAAGTTAATTACTGGAAAGATGGTTATTTAAGCCTGCAGGGCACTAGCTTGACAGTCGGTTTGACTTCCTGCTCAACTCTGAGCTTTCTTGTTTCTGAGGTAGGAGGCAAGTTACTCAGGAGACCTGGAAATTGCTGTGATCAACACGGTGACACTTGAACTGCAGGGACAAGGAGAGCAGAAGCCAGCACCACGAGAGGATGGAAGCAGCTTTTTGACACAGTGACAGTCTAACAGAGAGCATATGATGTCTGTGGAGCAGGGACTTGACCCTTTTCTGCCAAGCTGACTCCATCCCCCAGCAAGTCCATGCCACTCTGGCTCAGTAACTCTGGCATTATTTTCTGCTCAGACGTTTTGTGAGAGAGGACAAGTTATTCCCACCATAAAATGTCTTAGTTGCCAGGCTATTGCTTGTTCTGCTGGGAAACTCAAAATGCTTAAAGGTTTTGAACCTTTTAAGCAAAGCTGGGCATCAGACCTTTCTCTCCCCACATCCCAAATGCACTGCCTATGCAGCGGGCCACTGTACTGCTTTTGAACATAAGCTTCTCCACCCCCTTCAATTTCTTCTCAGACCCTCAAAACGCAGGCAGAGAAATGCTTAGGCAGGGATGTCAAGCTGAAGATGGTTGCTCATTTCCTGGGCCCAGGTGGGATGAGGACGGTTCTGGGAACACACAGATGCCAAGGCAGTTTGGGCCCTTACCCAGCTTGTGGCCTGCACACTGATTTAGCCACAGAGGGGCACTTAAACTACATTGACTGCTGAAATCCTTGGAGGAATCTCCTCTTAAGCCTCTTTGCGCTCCGGTTTGCTACGTGCAATATGGAGAATAGCACTTTCCTGCCTCGCAGTGTGGTTTGCAAGGACAAAGAAACCTATGCAGCTCAATTCTGCGTGTTACAGTACCAAAGATTGATTTGAAGAGTCAATCACTCCAAACCTATTTTTCACCCAAAGCATCCGCTTTCAAAAGAAAAAATGAGCTACATACATTTTACATCAGCTTGTGCATGAAGACAGACAGGCTTAGTGGATGGAGACACTTCACACTGAAGCGTACAAATTGGCTCACCGTGGGAGTGAGTGGGATGAAAATAACTCTCAGGGTTAAGGAATGACCCCCAGGCCAGTCCAGGACAGGAAATGTCATCCAGTCTGCAAAAGTAGCACCTGCATCTTCAAAAAAAGTGAGAGAGTCCTTTTACTAGCAGAAGCTAAAAGTGTATTCCCTGAATAACTCAAAGGTAAATGCATTTTGGAGGGGAAAATAGGATGACTGAAAGGAACCCCCGGAGGACTACAAGTCATCAGGCGTAAGAGCTAGGATCCTCTTCCAAGAGCTTTCTGCATAAAGCAAATCTGAGATGTAGGGCATGCAGGAGGACACAATCTCTCATGAGAAAAGAGTCTAAAGGAACTTTTCTGAGTACAAGGAGAGATACTTTGTAGATCAGTGAATTTATATCAAGTGTGGTTTTCTGTCATTCCTTCACCTATAATTTCTTTAGGGATTCTTAACTTGGATCTAGATTGTAAACTGGGTTTCTTTTGGGATGTTTTATGTTCTTTTATTTCCAGTTTCACCTTCACCTAATCTGAATTGAAGACAATTTTCTAATACCTGGCTAGCATCAAGACAGGATGTAAAAATCCTTAAACCCAGGTATGAGCACAACAGTTGCACACCTCTTCTGCATATTGCTCAGCACTACGAGAACAGTAGCTGTCTGTACCAAGCCAGAAGCTGTGTAGGCCAATTTGGTAGATGGGAGAGGAGGAAGTGCCTTCCAGTGGTCAGATATAGACAAGAAAGCCTTCTGGTATGGGGTAAAGCAATCAGAGTGTACCTGAATCCCAGGGAACCATTTGCAACAGTACACAATTTACTGAAAGATAAAGCCATTGGGCTCACACAGTTGTGGCTTAGAGAATCAATTTGCAACTTACAAACCTCAGCTCTGTGGTTTCTGTCCTGCAGTGTGAGAATTTATTTCTATCAAGTTTGCTACAAATTTTTAGCAGGAGTCTTAACTTCTCTCACCACCGGCTCAGACTCACAAACAAGTTACTAGGGAGCAACAAGCTACTCAATGTCAAATAACGAGGTGTGCTTAGCCTTCTTCCATGCAGCTACTTTGAATGCTCCTGAACTTGCTAAGATATATTTGGCCAGTCATGCCTTAACTTGCCGATATCCTCAACACTTTGTGTAGCACTTCAGTCCCCAAAAAGCTCATCCAGCTATAATGTTGAGCCTAGATGTGAAGAATTATCCCTGTGCACTTTCTGCTTACAAATTATACTTGACACGCGATAGTACAATTTCCAAGATAAGCAGTTTCTTTTTTGGCATTCACAAATAGTCTTAAAGCTTCACAGTTAGATCTGTAATGGCATGATCGCATCCTAATGGAATCATCAGCTCAGAACCATCCTCTCCCAGGGGTAACTGAGTAGTATTCCTATAGCGGGGCAGCAGATTATTTAGAGGCAAAAGCAGTATTGAAGTATTTTTTGCTTCTTTAAATACAGTTTACCAGAGAGAAATGAAAAGCAGACTGCTGTGGCTGCACAGTCAAGTGTTTGAAAGACTGGTGATACCCTAGTTTATGCAAACTGTTTTGTCTTATTAGTTGTTCATATGTACTCCATTTAATCTTCATGTTCTTCTCTACTTATGTTACACAATCAAGTCTTGAATGAAATTATATTCTACACCATGATCAGGTAACAACAATTGTATAGGAAGAGTAAGAGGAGTAATGAGTGCATGTGCAAGTTAATACATATGAAAATCTTAATGAAATTTAAGTATTGTGGAAGTCCTAGCA